TTGCTCATTCCCTTGTGACTGGGTCTACTTATTGGCCAGGAATGCTCTTATATACTGTATGCATATGATATACATCCACCATTGTGTCACCTTCCAGTGCGACTCCTTTAAAGAGCTAGGGGAAGCAGCAAAAATGATTTGAGTGTATGTGAGTTAGAGTCAGCCTACAAGTTAACTCTAAAGACAGGCACTCACGACAGTAATGAAAGCCGAAGTTGTTATAGCAGTACACAAATTTACATGTGAATCCCTTTTTAATCTGGATAAACAGGCCAACACAGAGAAGCTGCAAAATTCAAGCAAGAGAACTACAACCCAATGCAAAGAACTAAATTTGCAACACCAAGGGTAGAACCAGACATAGTACACTCAGAATACAATCCTCACCAGAAGCCATACTTTTTTTTCTTTTTTTTTTTTTTTAAAGAGACTACCTGCTATCCAAAAATCAAACATTTGAAATAGTGGGGAATAACAGAAACAAATGAGGACTTGATGCAAAGTACTGTAGATGTGAAAGTTCCCCAATCTTATCACTGCTGAAGTACACAGGCAATTATACTAATACTATTTCTAGAGTAGGATATATGGAATACAAGTAGGAAGCAGTACTTCAATGTACCAGACACTGCACAAACAAAGACACTTCCTACTCCAAAGACATCACAAACTAGGATTAGACTATTTTCCTACAGAGGTTTACACAGGTGAAGGGGAAGCAGTAAGGCAGACTGCAGGAAATTAAAGTATGAGTAAAGTGGAGAGTCACTGTAAGTAAACAAGCAAAATTTGTGATTTTTTTCCCTTCATTTGGTTCTGGTCACCATAATAACAGACCATATTCCCAAATTACCAGAAGCATTTATCACTCTCTTCCCTCTAGCCAGAAAAGTAAGTGTGTGGGGGGGAGGGGGAAGGAGGCAGGCATGGGTTTGGCTTTTTATGACTTCTATATTTTGTTCCGTAAGTAATGAAGTCTGCGTGACTTACCTTCCAGAGGTTTCAGGACCATACACTGGTTGGCAAAGACTGACCCTTTGGGTAAATCTGCACCACAATCACTCTCTGGTATCTCCTAAAGAAAGCACCTCCTATCCTTTTCTTGTCTTTTGTTTCTTTGTTGGAATTACTTTTTACCTTGCAACTTCTGTTTGGTGATGTCTATCATTCTTAAGCTAAAGCATTAAGCTATAATTTTAATGTCATTTATGTTTTCTACCTTTCCTTTGTTTAGTTTTAGAACCAACTTTATAGTTGAAATATGCTTAAAATAACTGTCTTATTTCTTTCAGTATTTATACTTAGGACAACAACATTATATTCTTGGAATGGATAGTTTCAAGGTGATGAATGTATGCTTGCTTCCTAGCATGAAATAAATTTCACTCAAAATTTCTCTGTTCTTTAAACAATAGCTCAGCAAAGATAATCTTTGGAACCAAGCAAGCATTTGGAACCGAGCAATAACAGCAGCTAAATAGCCTGTTTGGATGTATAACTCTATTTTGTTCCTCTTAAAAGAGTTACGTTGCTTTTCAATGGGGAATCAAGCAGCCTTAAAAATACTTTGGCAGAAAATCTAATGTAATGTTTAAAAAAATGAAGAATAAGTAAAGAATATAAGTGTCTCCTTTTAATAGAAAAATTAATCAATCAACATCTGCCAACACAATTATATATGCAGATGTACTTGAAATTCTACTCAGGGAAAGATTGGGTGATCTATTTTAAGCCTGTGTTAACATACATATATTGCTTAAAATGTGTCATTCTTGTCATACCCACCTTCAGAAAATTAAAAAATTCATTTTATTAAATTCATTTGGCATTTAGGAAGGAGTTAAAACTTTCAAAAGCATCCTGTGCTTACTGCTTTAATCTGGGAACAAGTGGCTTTATACATAAAAACAACCAAGCTGTCATGTTAAATCTTACTTACATACACCTTTGATTAGACTAAGTCATTAGATAAATACAACTGTAATTAAATTTAGACAACTAGAATAGTTGTAGATTAGGGTTATATCAATTTACTCTATTGCAGCTCAGGGAGATCAGAAGCTCCCAGGTCAATAATATTTGAGCTATCACATTCTATGATGGACCATTCAATCATTCTCAGTGCTCTTGGGAACTCATTTAAAAGACTGGCAAATCCTAATGTGCCAAACACTTAGATGTTGGCTGAGAACTGACTTTTATTAACTTCTGTTGCATTGTTATTGTATGGTGTTAAAAGCTTCCTGCTTCCTTATTTTTCCTAACTTTTTTGAGTTTAAAATAACACTCAAATGTCTATTTTAAGTGATTTTAAAGGGACAAATCTGGCATGTCCTTCAGGTCTGTAACCTGATGCAGAAAGTTTAGAAACAGAAGACAGCTCTGTTTTCTGGACCTCTACTGGTGGACACATCGCCTGATCCACACACTCCCCAGCACTATTTGTATATGAATGAACATATCACAAACAGTTCACCCCAAGAATGAGAGTTCCCAGTCTCACAGCTGCATGAATAGCCTTGCCACATGTTCAACACGTTTCATAAACAAGGCTAAAGGTTCTTGAACAGGCTGAACATCAAACCCCAAACCACTAACAAAGCTCTAGTCTCTTTGACTTTTCTAATAAATAAATGTTGAGAGCTGCCTACCTTTATAGTAGACAAACAGGTCAATGATCTTTATAAAAGACATTTTGGGACTAAGGGGGGACTAAGCAAATTTTCAAATGCTCATAACAAAGTTCCCACAGGTTGAGCTCTTCTAATCTCAGCTTAAATTTTTCTGTGAAAGCTATAAAGCTGCAATATAATGGACCTTTCCAGAATCTGAATTCCCTATTTAAGCTTTCTCAGGATTAATCTGAAATGTTAATGGAATTTACACAACTAAAATAGACCTACCTATAAATATCTGTCATAAGGTCTTCTGGGAAGCGCTAGCAACTGGTAAATCTCTTTTTAGGATATGTAGTAGCAGTAATCATAGTAACAACAATAAAAACAACAACAATAATAATAAAGACCCCCAGAACTGTGACAAGCTGGCATGGCTATATTACTATGGTTGTCCCCACAGGGCCCCTTACTGTACAACTGCAAACAGCATCCAAGGGCGTTTGGCCTGGAAAATCAACTAGTAAAGTACATATTTTATTTCCAGAATGCATGGTTAAAATGGATAAACTATTTTTTTTTTTTTTTTTTTAAAGAAAAAGGAGTTTTGAGCACCATGAGCTCTTCTATGCAATGTACCTGTTTCATTCCCAACAATTTAATTCCTTCTAGAAAGCAAATGCCAACAAGAGTAAAAGCCAGAAACAGGTTCATTTCTCTGATTAAGTTGTGCATACATGAGAAGGAAAGGAGATACTGGTACTACATGTCCTTCAAAAGTGCTGTTCTAGAAAAGGTACAGGAAACATATACTGTGCGACTTTTACAAAGCTTAAACACAGTTTATATCGTCATGAGTTGATGAGGAAAGGCAAAATAACTTTCAATAGTATGGTCCCTTTTGTATGAATATGAGGTGAAAAAGACCTTTCCTTTAAAAAACCTGAGTGCATTTTTGTACTGAAAACATGATTATAAGAAAGGAAATTTTGATTGTCATATTTCTATACATGGACGTGGTCTGTTTAAATTCACCTACAGGCACAACCTAGGTTGTGATAAGCTGCATCATTTTTTTGTGATGGCTCTTCTTCAGAGCACCACCTGCTGAAAGAAATCACTGAAGACAGTCTGACTACTGACTGCAGTTGCAGAAACCTTCTGAAACTTGACAGCATTGGTAATGAGTCTTTGATCACTCTTGGAATATCTTATGTCCCAAAGGGAGGAAAACGGGATTCTGAGACACTACTGAAGCAAACCCTAGTCAGTTGGGAGGCTTGAAGGGAAAGCCTCCAATAACTATTTCACTTCCAACTGGTGTTCCCTCTGTAGTGGAGTTCTTCCAGAGATTAGGGTGTAAAATGTTCATAAAGAATTGGAAAAGAAGAACTCTAATTTAGCTCAGAGATGCTCAACCCCCAGCCCATGGAGCCGTAAAATCCAGCCCATGGGTTTCCCCACAGGTCTGGAAATTTGGTAGTGGGGGAACAGTGGCAATTAACATTCCACCACTCCCCCACCACCGAATTTCCAAACCCCATGCAACTGGATTGTGCAGGGAGATTAGGCCCTGCTCTCATGAAGAAGGACTGAGCCAGTCAGATCCAGCTGTACAGCAGTAGCCTGGCTGGGGCTTGATGCAGCCACTCAGGATTGGGCCCCAGCTGGGCCATTACTGTGTGGCTGTATCAGGCCCCAGCTAAGCCAGCACCATATGCCTGACAGAGCCCGTCAACTGGATCTGGCCTGTGGAAGGACCTGGCATAGCTCATCTGGCCCACGGGTCAAAAAGGTTGGGCACCACCAGTTTAGCCTAGTATTTACTGAAGATCCAGTAAAAATGCCAGGTGGGATTTCATGGATTACCCTTTCTTACCAATAGTTTAGTTCCACACTCTTCAGACCCCAAATGCAAGAGTTTAAGACTTTACCACTATACAAATCAGCTGCACTCTACGGTCACCAATGTAACTTCTAAGTTATAAAAAGAGCATCATCTAGCCTGATGGATCAATGGCATGTGGAATGATGACAGAGGTAGAAAACAGCATGATCTGACTTACTGCTGCAATCACAGCTCCTTATGCCAGTAGCTCAGCAAAAGAGTACCTGTTATTATGAAAGCATTGTGGAAATGTGTATAAGAGAAGTTCTCTTGAATAGGTAGCAAAAAAGGGGATAATCCATCAAGGAAAGTGGGGGATATTCCTTTCATTTGCTTGCAATACCAAACTTGGCCAAAATTTTCATATACTACAACTATTTATTTCTAATGAACCAAATTCCTAATTGTACATCGCCTGATGTAATGGAAAATGCCCACTGAAATTTTGAAAAGGACCTGTGATTTTTAATTCTTTTCTGAGAAAAAAAGTGTCTTACCATACAAGTGTCTAGATCCTCCAAACGTTCTATTTCAGTCAGATCCTCAACTGTGATGATGGAGCGTTTAGTTGGTTTCTCTTCAGCTAATTCAATCTCTAGTGACTCCTGATGTGGAAGTGGCTTCCCACGTCTTGTCAAATGGTCAGCCTAGGGAAAAGAATAAAGGGATGAAACTAGTGATTAGAAAAAGGGAACAGGAGAGAGAAGTTGTGCATTGCGATTATTACTAATCACCCTTTATAGGTGAGCTGTAGGGAAGATAAACTATGTACATCAATGCTAAAATCCCTTCAGTCTTCTACAGAATGACCTTGCCTTCCTGCCATGAACACCAGATGGTGGGCACACAGAAGTAAAGTGTGTTTATTAAATGGCCAAAAATCCATGATTCCAAAACTGAAGAAAAAGACATTTTTTGTTAAGTGGCCACTTGACTTCAGCAAGGAATTGAAGAGGGCAATTAGAAATAAAAATACAGTGTAAATCACTTTATAGACATCCAGAGACAAAACGGGTACCATTTCTAATCCTTTAGTTACTAAGAAGCCTGTTTTATATCATCTACTTTAGGGTAAGTCACTAAGAAGCCCATTATATATCATCTACTGCAGATAAGCATTTTAAAAACTGCCCAGATAAGTAATTAATAAGAGTCCAAAAAAGAGTTGGCTTACAGAGGATGCTGTCCACTGATGTGAATTTTTAATAACTCTTGGGAAATTCCAGAAAACTGGCAAAGTATTGACACTGAACTAACAGTCAAGGAAGGCAAGCAGTGTGACTTAGATATGTTAATGGCCAGTTAGCCAAGTAACAGTCCAAGCAAAACAGTGAAAAAGCTGATATAAAAATCAATTCATAAAGAAAAAAAGGACTGGAATACAATTAATGGCGATCCACAATTTTTAATGCAAAATTGGTCTTGTCAAACAATGAAAGCGTATTTGTTTGATGAGATTACACATGAGGCTTATGAAAGTAATTGTGCAAATATAACATACGTAGACTTCAGTGAAGGATTTGACTTAGTACTGCCTGACACTGATTACAAATTAGTATGATACAATATCAACAAAGTACCTATTTAACAGATTAAGAACTGGATGACTGAAGGATCTGAGTACATTGTCAAGGCGAACAATCACTAAAATGGATTTTTCTACTGGAAATCTACCAAGATGCTTTACATCCTCAAAGATTTGGAAGCAAACATAAAATCATTGTGGGGTCATGGAGGCAGTCCTGCTTGGGGCAGCAATTTGGAAAGCAATCAACTGTCTCATGCTCCTACCCTGTTTCTGGACCCTCTCCTTCAGTAAGATGAATAGTTGCTGGTTCCAAGAATTTGTTATTGAGTCCCTGATTGCAGTTTTATTTGGCACCATGTGATACTGACTGGCCTGTGAGACAGATGCAACAGGAGCACTGAGAGACAGGAAAGCCCCAAATGCTAGTAGATAAGTGGTAAAAAAATTGTACCATGTTGTATGTCTGCTAGCTGCAATAACCAGAGCCCTAGATCAAGTGCAAAACGAAATGCAACAGCATACCAAAAACTCTACATATTCTTAGAATGGGAGGTATGTTACTGAGCTCAATACCATTAGGGCCATTTGAATATGTTTGTTCATAAAGTGTTCACTTGAAAATTTGAAAACCATTTTTAGACTAGTCCTTTGCAATCTCAGAAGACTCGGTAGTAAATCCTCAGCAGTTTTTGAATAAACCTTCTTATAGGATTTCAACCACCTGTACATCAGTTGCATCTTTACCACTCTCAAACTGAAAAATGTGTTGATGGAACTCTCTCTCAAGAGGCTTTACCATGCCAAACTAATCTGCACAGAAAGCAGTGGCATTCAGATAAGATGGTGATGGGCATTACATGGGCAAACTAGATTAATAACTATCAAATTTGAAGTTGGAACTATTTTAAGTAGACCCATTATATGTTTCTTCAAATGTATTTACACTGTAGTACATAGTATAAAGCTGAAAAGGAGCATTTATAGTAGCAATAGCATAAAGAATGTAAAGCAAATTTATCCTACACAGATAATGATAGTCTGTTTTCCTGACATAAAACTTGGATGAGCATAACAAAGCCATGAGAAAGATGCTGCCAATGCTGTTCATGTTCTTGGAATATTTTAAACAAACTGAAAATACTGCAAAATCTTGGAAACTACGTATTTATATTACATAATTTATGATTGTTCGCTATTGTTGCTAGTCTTTTTGCATACTTCTAAAATCTAGCATTATCAAACCAAGTTCTGGTATGACGATCCTCTTCAGTTCCCTCTGTGTGACACTTGCAGCATAAGAGCCTGTAGGCTGTTCTATGGATGCATAGCTGAATTGCTTTTTTAATCTTCAGGAAGCCGGTACATCTTCAATAAGCAACTAAACCACTTAGAAGCAGTCTTTCCAGAGACCTGTTCATTTGCTTTCTGTGTGGTCCCATCTTGTGTTCCAAAGCCTTGAAATCACATTTCTGATGTAGCTTAAATAGGCACTGGGTTAGAAACCAAGGTCTCTCCAGCTTGTTCCTAAAGAATGAACTCTCGCCTTTATTTTATAAGTAATGCCTCATATCTTACTAAGGTAGCCAGTAATTGTTTTAATTAATGACTATGTATCCTTGAAAAAGGGGCTATGTAATGCAGCCTCTTCTGTAGCTGTGTTTTCTTCTTAAATCAAAGGAATATTTACCCCATGACAACAGTTCACATAAATCCAATGATGAAAACTGAGCAGTTTTAGATACGCAGTTGTAATGAAGAGGAGCTGAACAAGTCATGAACACAGTGTTCTTAGGATGAATCAAAACACTCAGAATTGTGCAAGCACTTACCAGTTTATGATGGGAATGTGAAAGCGCATCCAGGATTTCATCTACAATTCGATCAGATAGGAAAGAAGCCACTGTCAGCTTTACTTCACTGTGAAAATAGAAAATGAGAGAAGCATAACTTAATCACACCAGAGAATTTTGCCATCTTTACTGCATTATTTCTGTGGCGTAAAGAGTATCTGAGATCCAGCAATTGTATTTGAAATGAAACATAAGAAGGTGTGAGAAGAATTGAGCACTTCAAAAATAGGCTATAAACATAAGAACTCCTGTGCCATTTTTAACCTGCTTCTAACATTTTTAGAATCTAAAATGAAAACATCTGGCCACGAGAATTAAATAAGAACCATATGTCAGATTCATTGAGAAACAATTCACACACTGATATTAGAAAAAACAAATCTGGTTTAGAGGGGGGACTAAGACTGTCTTGATTGTTTAAGTCTTATTTTGCCCAACAACCCTGGCAGCATCTACACATTCATTAATACACTTTAGGTAATGTGCATTATATTTTAGACCTCCACTGTGAGGTACTAGAAGAATGTGCATTAGCCTATTGTAATGTACATTAGCTAAAGAGCATAGTTTTCTGTGATGTCTTAATGCGCATTAAAATAGGTCAATGTGTATTAAAGTGCACCTGTAGACATACCCCGCGTACATTTCCTCATCTCCTTTCTGTGGCTTTCTTTCAGTCCAAGGGTGATTGCATGTTGTCTTAACTGCAACAGTTACCTCAAGTTACTACTGCATTGCAGTATGAGCACTCACACTGCAAATCAACTTTCAGGCTACACAGAGCAAATAGAAGAGCAAGTGATGAGTTATGCTAACTTGAACTACAGCGTGTACCTACATCCCTACTGCATTACTAGCTTGAGTGTCAGCACTTGGCTTGAACTTAAAGCATCACATCCCCTGAACCAGAGGTGTGTCTGTGTGGAGAGAGGCTGTGTTAGAGACAACATGGAAGTTAAACTGTGGTAGACATAGTTAGCTGTGTTAGTCTGAAGTCAAGTAGAAGGCAGGGTAGATTTGCACCTTACAGCCTAATTAAAGCAGAGATATACAAAGAGAGAGCACACACTTTTGTGGGCTAGAGATAACTTCATTTAAGTTGTGAGTCAACCATGCAGTGAAGACTTTTGGGACTGAGGTATATAATCTATGGAACTGGAATTTACTATAGAATTTGTTGAAGTTGGGCTCGTCTTCATCAGCACCTTCTTTCCATGGAAATGCATGGAAAACTCTACCATGTATCAAGAGTTTCTGGTGAACAGTTTTTTGGTGAGAAGATAATTGGGTTGCATATGTCACTAGAACTATGGGACAGGACTTCCTTGTATTACACAGCTTAACTATTTTTAGTATGTGGTAGGAGAACACGTGGCTTGATGTGCAAGGAAAAACAGGTATTTACAACTTCTAACAACCCCCCCCCCC